TGCGGAATCCGACAGATCTCAGCGAGCGCAGTCGGATGCAGCAATCAGAAGAGAAAAAAAAAAAAGATCTGGGCATTTTTGGGGGGCATCTGGTTTCTCCGGTTCACCCCCCCTGGACCGGTCCGGCCCCGATTGGACCGGGGCAGGTGATCCGCGGCCGGTTGCTGGCCCATCCCTGACATAAACAAGTAAATTGAAAAGTAATATTAAAAACTCAATGTCTGTTTTTTTAACTTTTTTTCTAACATTTTTATGATCTATTTTTGGGCCCGGACAGGCATAAGGTCCCGGGCCATTCTTGGCGCCGAGCCGTCTGCGTATATACAATGTAACCATGAACTAGTATGAAGTACTATGAACGTATCACATCCCTGTTGCAGACGACTCGCCTGCTGCGCCTGTGCCGTGCTGCTGGTTGGTAGCACGACACAGCCAAGTGCGGGTCTACAGTCGTGGTGTCTCAGTCTGCGAGTTGCCTTTGATTTGGGCTGGCAGAAGTTCACTCTGCAATCCTGGCGTAAAAGAAAATAAAATAATAAAATAAAAACCGTTGGCCCAATAGATCTTGCAACGGAAGCACACACACACAAAAAAACAAACAAACAGTTGGATCAAATGGATGGTGCTCTCTCAAGGCTGTGCTGGTGCATTGCTTTTGATTTCTGGATGCTGTTGCTTGCTTCTGACTCGCTCACAAGGAGAAGCGTGATGTGTGCTTTCTTGATTTGTCCAGGGCTTGGACGATTTAGTGGGAGTTTTCAGGAGAGCCCCAACTACACGTAAGGTCTCCAAAGTGGCGTGAGTCTCGACCTCTCGGGCGATTCCTTTTGGGTTCCCGCGACAAACTGGAAGCATGTTTCGTCGTCGCAGTGCTGATGGTGAGAAACGCGGGCAAATTGGGGAGAGAGAGAGAGAGAGAGAGAGAGAGAGAGAGAGAGAGAGAGGGGGGGGGGGGGGGGGGGGGGGGGGGGGGGAGAATATGGCTTTGAATACAATCGGTAAGGGATATTCAGGAGGGATGTGAAGTGTCAGTGGGAGAGCAGCAGGAGATTGTTTTCATTGCAGAGCCCTTTTTTGTTGTAGTCAACAACATCAGGATTTCTTTCATGTTCGTTCGTTTGCTATGTGAACATCTTTCC